ATGCTCAGGAAGAATATCTGCATTCTTTTTCTCAAAAACGTCTTGATAATCCTGATATTGACTTGGAATGCCACTTGAAGTCTTTACGCTTTCAGAAATAGGTGCAGCATAAATAGCAAAAGTTGATCCTTCTTTTGCTGCGTGTATAAATGCTTTTGCACCTATAGGTGTGAGTTTTACTATACTAGACTCATGGTTTTTTACTTTGTTAATAGAACTGTTACTAATGCTCTGAGGAAAATCAAGTTTACGAGAAATCCAATCTATTCCAGGATTATACTTTTCTAACCATGATAAGCCTAAAATTACTGGATTAGAGGGAGATCTAATTATATTAAAAATTACGCAACTACTATGACCATTTATTACTACATCTACAGGAAGTGTTTCGTGAGTTACATCTCCAGAAGACAACGGACGACCATCTATGACTTCTACGTGTACAGGTTTAGTTTTTTGTATTAATGATATTCTATGACATCTAGCAAATTCTTCATCTAAAAAACAAGATGAGGCTCCTGAATCTACCAAGGCAGAGGCTTTGTAATTATTAGGTCCTAAACGCACATCTATTATAAAACAAGGAGATGGTTTTGAGGAGAGGATAGGACCTTTATTAGAAGTTGTACAAGATTCCAGCCGCACGGTCCCTATTGTAGCTGGACGTACTCGTTTTCCGACATACTGTCTTCTTTGACAGCCGTACTCCTCATTTTGTAGTTACGTCGCTTCTTTGGACAATGTTGAGCAGTGTGCTTAGGTTCTCCACAATATAAGCACAATCCTTCTTGTCGACGACGAGACTTTTCTTGCTCAATAAGAGGTTTGAAACGTACCGCATCAATTTGCATATCCTCTACTTTCGAAGGTATGTGTTGAGGAGACGTCGGTGTCGCCATTGAATTGTAGTAACGTTGAGGCCCACTTGTGCGACTCTCGGATCGAAATTCAAAAAGTCGATTGTCGCACTTCACAGCAAAGTCAATTGCTTGACTCAATGTTTGAGGATCAGGTAAATTAAGCATCAATTTCTTTACCTCATATTGTAATCCGTAGAGAAATTGACTCACAAGTGCGGCATCATCCCACTTGATATCAGTTGCAAGTTGTCGAAATTGCAAAGCATATAATGTTACTGATCGATTGCCTTGTCGCAAAATACGGATCTTGTTGGTTGCAACACGAATTGCATCATGTTCTCCAAACATGGATCGAAACTTCGCCAAAAAAGCCTCCAGATTATCCAATATTGGATCTCGTCGTTCAAAAAAAAGATGAAAACCATGACAATGCTGAACCTGAAAGAAGTGTACCAATGAATCTTACTTGTGACCCTGGAGTTGGATAGCTCTGGGGTTGAAGTTCAATCACTAGTTGGACCTGATTGATGAATCCTCGAAACTTGGATCTGGTACCATCAAACTTCTCCGGTAAGGCAACTCTTGGTTCTCTAACACTCGAAGGGTGTTCCATTCTGGGAGAAGGGACATGGTTTGGTGCAGATGTTGAAGCAGCCCCAATCATCTCTATATCTTCACTTCCTACCATTCTTGTTGCTCCTTGTGGTGGTAAATTGAGTTGATGCATCGCAAGCATTAACTCCCTCAATTGTTCTTGCATCTGTGCCATTGCACTCTTCATTTCAACAAGCTCTGCCATAGTAGCACTTAGAAAAGAGAAGATGTCTAACAACGCTCAAAACAAATAGAAGAGAGGAATTGATAACAAAGAAAATACTAAGAACAATATCAGTTTAAAAGAGGGTAATCCGCAACTTCTAATGCGCTTATGTCTTATCAAGAAAAAGGGGTAATCCACTCTTAATCAAGAAAAGACAAAGCTCTGATATTGTAAGTGTACTCTTGTCAATCTGTCAGGGACAAGAACTCGATGAAAGCTAAAGAGTAAGTGAGACTTTTCTCAAAAAGAAATAGGACAAAATAGAAATATGTATATTAAGAAAGAAACTGGAATGGCTATTGCCAAAATACAAGAAAACTAGAGACCCTTGAAACTAGACTAGAAGCAAGAAAGGAGTTGACAAGAGTGAAGAGGGCTTCACTCTTGCCTCTATATATACTATCTAACTAGAAGCCACGTGGCGATGTTCTATAAGACCTCCAATATATGTTGACTTTCTAGGCCACATGCCTTTGCTTGCAAGGCAAGTTTTCTATGGATGGACCACGTAGTTAGCTTGTTCTTTAAGCTTCCAACATGCGTGGCACATGGCTAACTTGTTGACCAAGTTTCTAACCTAAAAGTCAACTATAGACTCCTATAAAGTCAAAGCAGCGTCTATGAAGCTTCTAAGAAGCTTCTCTAGAAGATATTACACAATTAACCTACTTTTACATACTTTTATCTATTCATATAGGTAATTATATGTATGTCCGTGACATTACCATTAGTTCAAAATTCTTTCAAAAGATATTTTATTTTTATTAATAAATTTCTAACAATGTAATATTGTTAATATTTTTATATTGTTCTTTTAATGATAGAATTTGTTTTTTAAATATGTTTTAATTGTTTTTAAGCTTTGTTTCTTATTAAAAGTATATTACAGAAGAAATAAAGACTACTATATATATATATATATATATATATATATATATATATATACTTATATATTTTTGAAAAAATTATAAAAATAATTTTACTCAAAATCTCTTTAAAGTTCTTCAAATACATTGACAGTGACCAAAATAAATTCTTAAAATATCTATTTACAAATATTTTAAATACATACACCTCAAAATTTCTATTGTGTCTACTTCTTAGCAACATGTCTACTATTTAGTGCTTATAAATAAATATTGGTTTCAAAAATTCATCTTCTTATTTCTTCTCTTATAAAGATCCTCTTCTCACTGAGAGAGATCCAAGAAAAAACTCAATTTATTTTTAATGTAAAATAATATTCTTTTAAAAGATGAGTGAATTGATAAGCTCATATTACGAATTTAATTTTAAAAAAAAACTAAAACCAACAAATACTCTTCAAATGCTTTCAAAACATGGTCTAATAACCATAAGATTCTTTTTTTTACAAAAAATATAAAAAATTAATTACTAAACTTTTTTACTCATCAAATATCATTTAAATTTCTTTTAAAAAATAAAAAATAATCATAGTTTATTTTTTTATATTCAACAATCAAAAATTGTACCTATGTTAGAAGGTTTAGTCAATCTATAATAGAGCCTAATCTTATCCAAACAAAATGTTTATTACTAAATCTAACACTTAAGATTTTTATTTTAAATTCGAGTATCAAAATATAAAATAATAATAATAATAATAATAATAATAATAAATAATAATATATTTTTAATGATATATAACGACAATACCAATAATAACAACAATAATACCAAAGTTAAGATTTTTAAGTCTTTAAAAGATGTAGAATACTATAAAATCATATTTCTAATCAGCTTTACTTATAAGTAGCTAATACATTATTAATGTATATGGATTTTAATTATAAAAGATTATTTCAACCATTGCATAATCATAGATTGACCCTTTCAAACTTTATTAAATGCCAATTCCACCTATTACATAAACTCTTGCCATAATTGCACTTAATTGTTTCTTTTCCTATTATTTTTTGAATACAAACAATCTAAATTGCAACCACATTAACATTTACTACTTATACATATTTATTAATTTAATTTTTTGCAAAAAATTTAAAATTAAAGAAGTTGAAAATATTATGTTATAAATATACAAAATAAATTCACATACACACAAATATATATATATATATATCAAATCAATAATAACAATCTTAATACTTTAACAAAAATATCTATCAATTAAATGCCAAATTTATATAAAATTACATAAGATAAACATAGAATTTAATGATTCAACATAGTAAAAACATCAAGGTTTTATTTATTTATTTATTAAAATCCCATCAAATGATTCATGATTGCCATCTCAAAGATTTGTTTGAATTTTTTAGTAGAACCTGAATGTTATACAATAATACATAAGACATTGAAATTCTTTTATCTATTAATCTTAGAAATTGTTGGGTAGACACTCCTCTTTTACTACATGGGTACCTCCTAAATACTCACAGTAATATCTTTCCTATTTTACTATTTTTTATGATGATATTTTTTGTTGATTATATTTTTAGTACTAAGAAGGATTATGAAAAATGAAAAAAAAGAAAAAGACTGATGTCTTATTTGTGTGCTTGAATAATTGATTTCATATATTAAAATTTCGATATATGTTTCATGTAAAAGAAAATAAACTGTAAAATTATGAAATCAACTTACAGACATGCTTGGGAATATAATAACATTCTTTTGTTTTTGTTTATATTTTGAAATACTAATAAATTAAGAGAACCACACATTGGTGTCCATACTATATTAAAAAAAGGGTGTCCACCTAGCTATCTCCTTAAACTTTTGTTTGTTTGTAAATTATGTCCCTACTTATAGCAAGTGCATACACTTAATGCACACACATAACTCTCAACACACAATCCATCACATTATTAGGTCTTATCCAAGCACAATTGAATTATAATAATTATCACTATAATTCGTTGGAAAAAGGGTTCATGAATTGTATTCATCCACTTCCAAGGCAAAGAAAGCACTCACTCAGGTAGTCATGCCGCACCAATCCGACAATGGATCTGGCAACGTGTACCACGCCACGTAAGCAGCACCCGTGGCGTCCGAGCTGGAGTCTGACGTGGCCCAGAGCCAATCCCAAACGGGAACGGAAAGGAATGCTGTTGCTGCATGGCCCCGAAAGTCGCACCCACCGGCGATAGTATTTAATGTGGGGGACGGCGCACGAAAGGCAACTCAACCAACCCGGCCCCGGCCCCCCGCGAGAGGCGGTGCAGGAAATAGCCGTGACACCGAGGAAGCTACAGCGCTCCCATCTGGAGCTCGATGGATTTAGCAGCCAGCCAGAGCAACTAGGATTCCTGGAATTCGGAATGGAGCTAGCACGTCAATACTCACTCACTCGCCCCACCCTCCCGACCCTCCTTCGCTTCACCACCCACTGAATGAATCCCTCCCTTCTCCCCTCCCCTTTCCTGGATTAGTACTACTGTTCTCGCACTGTTGCCGAAACATCTGCCCACTCCGTTCAATGTTTACCGTTGTCAGCGGACGGTTCGAGGGAGGATAGTTCTAGTTCTATCCACCCCGGTGTCGATGGAGTTGGTCGTGGAGTTATCGGGCTGCGAGCGAGCATGCTGTTGGTGGTGTTGTTTCTTTCTCCCCCCCAATCCCCAGGGTGAGGGTCTGGTGTGTGTGAGTTGAGAGGTGTATTTGGGACCGTTGTGGTTCAATTCGTGCTGGTGGGGATGATATAGATCTGTGGACCGGGGGTGGTAATAAGCATGGCGGGAGTGGGAGTTGGGGATAATTGTGGACAGAGATTTGTTGTTGGAGGTGCCTGCGCGTTCCCGCGTAACGTTTGATCTCCTGTGCGTTTGCGGTTTGGAGATCAGTGTGGAGAATGGCGGCTCATGATGGTTCGTGTCCTGTGGGCCTCACTCCCACATCGTCTGGGGTGTCAGACTGCCTCTCATCCTCGGACCGCACGGTGGAGATGATTCAGAGTGAGGAACTGAGCACAGCACTGCGCATCAACTTTAGCATGGATCTGGTTTTCGCTGCCAAGCGTCAGTTGGGGTTTCTCCGCACCATTGATAGCTTGCCCTGCCTGCACAAGGGACCAATGGTTCTTCGTGCTATACGCAGGTAATTTGCAAACTTCTCCTGTTCCAGGGAGAGGCGACGATTTGAAAAAGAAAAGTGTGCGGGATATGGTTCGCTTTCGTCTCTTCGGCATACATTGCGAAGAGAACAGTGACCTGTTGAGTTCTCTACCGTGTCCTGTCTTTTACCGGAGACTGGGACTACGGCTGTCAGTTGGGAACGGTGCCAGATGGTCCGTGAAACCCACGAGTGGTTGCCACCACATCCATCAGTCCCATCTGAAAGGGAATTGGCTCTAGATACGAAAAATTGGGTGAACTTGTCAGTATCTTCATGGATCGCATGTCTGAGATCAAGTAGTTTTAGATGTAGAGAAATGCAGTTGGACGAGAGGACTAGATCGTAGTGCTGTATTTCTTTTCGTTGCACGAGGTTAGTCGAACTTCCCAGTCGTATTGTCGCAGTATCCTCTATCGATAACTAAGCTTGATTCTAGATTACCAGCCGCATGAGTAGAGTCTCCAATGCACGAATTTGATGTCACTCAGGTACAAAAACATGTGCATTTTCTTGGAGAATCTCATGGATAATTTAATGTTGTTAGAGAGGAATAATCCATGCTGCGGGTTGACCTCAACATGCCGTCGCTTGGCAGGTATCAAAAATTTTGGATGCCTTTGGTAGCAGACTCTCTCAAGTTCGATGCGCTGTTGAACGTCGATTCAACAGGGAAAAGTCTTTTGCCACCATTGGATGTACAGTGGATATGGCACTGCCATCGCTTGAATCCGGTCAGTTTCCAATCGCTTCCGTTTCTAACCGCACTTTAAAGTTGAGGGGGTTTTGAACAATGAAGACTGTCCTGTCTAGCAGTGTTAAATGGAAAACTGATTTACGAATTGGACGTTATCAAACTGATTCTTGACTACTATCTCTTTGCAGGTGGTGTACAGGAGGTATTGCATTGCAAAGTTTGGCAGGGTAATTGATTGCCCGATTTTTCCCGACGTTGCTAGCGAGAGCTTGGCAACAGAAAGGTGCAAGAGACTGTGGACAATTGTCTATCTCAAAGAGCCTTACGACGTTATGTCCACTTTCTACAAATTTCCAGGGAGTACCAGTGGTTCCGGTCAAGTTTGTCCCGTTGATGATATCGATGGCTTGGAGGAGCTCATTGCTGCCGTTACCAAACAAAGCAGTTTCTATTACTACGTAGGTTCCGATCAGTTCGTTTGATTTTCTTCCGTCGTGTATACATTTACTTTCCATTTACATTGTTCCTTCAGCGTCACAGCTAGTCATTCTGTTTGAATATAGTTTCTACCATTTGCTATCTCACTTTTACTAAGTTATCCTGGAGTCCTCGTGTTTTCCAGGTTTCGCAGTCTTACATGTGGGAAGACAGCTCCTTGCAAGCTGCAGCTGATAGATATAAGTGTTTCTTGCATTTACTGTACAAATCAAAAGGAAGGATCACCTGCGTCCCGACTTTTGACATTGATCTGATTTGGCACGCACATCAGGTTTGCTCATACTTCCCACTTTCTCGGTGATGTGGTTCGTATGTTCGTGCTTCGAAAGCGAATTTCGCTAAATACCATCGTGGAGATATCATTAATTTTTTCGTTCGTTGTTGAGATAATTTCGTGCGTATCATTTGCAACATGAAACTACTCGGTTTCCATTTTGTTTTGTTGGATTTATATCTGTGACTGTTCCTCATTCACAACATGTTGGCTGCCAGCTTTCACCGGTGTCTTACGCGAAGGATACGAAAGCTTTGTTAGGATGTATTGCGGATCACGACGGCACCTTAGCCGAAAGAGGTCCTGGATCTAAATTGGAGAAAGATTTCGAAGACACAGCGAAGCTTTGGGAGAGTACTTATGGTCTCTCATACGAAAGGGCGGGGTGTATGTATCGCAACACCAAGCCTGTAAATGTACCACCTCCTCCCGTCTCGGATATCAGAACTAGCTTCGTAATTGAAAGACCCCCATCCATTTTACCGTGGGATTACCGCATGGCTGACCACAATCCCACCAAGTATCCCATTCTCACTCCACGACACGTCCTACAGGTACTCATCAGTTTCTAGTTTAACTCACAACGTCGTCCTCCGTCAATCGAGTTTTATGTCATGTGACTGTCTTCTTCATCAATATCTTCGTCATTCCTGTAGTGGTCATTATAAGTGAATGTTTCCAAATGTTCGCTCAATGCCACCACGATGAAAGGTTTGAACGCCCTCAGTGCGTGTGGTAGCTTACTTGGATCGCACCTAACATTATGGTCCTCCGTCCACTTAGGTTTGCATCTTGATCAAGTGTACCACGGCTATGGTGCCAAATGGTAGAGAGGGTGGGGATCTGTTCGTAAGGCTGAGAACGTTGGATGCATACACGTTACTGAAGATAGAGGCCCCCGTGCTTCCTTTTTCACACGAAACCCAATGGCAGAAACTATGGGTTCTCCAATGTGAGACCAAGACCAAAGGCATGGTGCTTGAACTACGCTACCACGTCGAAGGATGCATGAGGACGTTCCGCAAAACAAAATGCATAGGTCGTGCGAAACTTACTTGGCATGAACTTCAGAAGGCGCCGATGCTCTACCACGATGTCATGTTTCCCCTGTCGGCGAAACGGTTTAACTCGCCCGAAAGCAAGCAATCCTGCCAAGTTGGGCTTGAAGTGTCGATCACTCCACCAGTACAGGTTAGACTCCCCATGACCAATTTTTATTGAAAGTACGGGAGTCTTCTTTTTGTTAATTTTTTTTCTTTCCGCAAGAACCGGTGTTGTCTTACATATTTGTTCATATTCTTGTATTCCTTGAATCATGTTTTTGATCTTAAATTCTGTCCTTGACAATACATTGAACTCGTTGCCTCAGGCAGCATACCTGTTGAAATCCGTTCCAGACCGAGTTACGGATGATTCGGGGGCCATGCTATCCAGCGTGATATTGCGCAGGAGGCACAATGAACCACAATCTGGGCGATGGATCTCACGAACTGTCCTCAACCACGCTGGGAAAGAGACTTTTGTGATCCGCATTCGGTAATTGTGAACATGTCTTTAAGTTCATTTGTTTGAGGCTTGTCATCATGTAGAATGATCAAGTACAGAGAGTTGCGTTGCCATCGGAAATTAGGATTCCGGAGTTGATCTCTGCCTTTCAAATGTTATCAGGGCTGCGAAAGGAGCATGGACTAGTCGTGGCGATCGGCCAGTGGGTGTGGATTGGAACGAGCGGGTCATCAACGTGCATGGAGGAGGTTGGAATTATGTCTCCAACCACGTTGGTACTTCCCCCGAGAAAATTGTAGGGAGTGCAGTGCCTTTGGCCCATGAACTGGAAGAATACAAACTTAGCTGGGCGCTTTCTACCGGAGACACGTTGATAGTTTCGAGACAACTGAGTGATATCAACTGGGAACGCCATCTTGAATTCACCCTGAAAACCTCTGGTCGTGGAGCAGGCTTGGTAAGTCTAGCGGCCAATACACATGCTCATTGCTCATCATCAGAAATCTCTCGTTTGTTGTTACAGGTTGTGGCTTGTAACTATCTTCTTAGTGTTGTCCTTTGTCGTGTGATATACTCTGTTCTAAGAAAATCCTTGCATTGCCCGATGCTTTGTTTGATGAATGCAGGCACGACTGGTGAACGGTCGCAAGCAACAGTACGAAGTGCCGAACGCTTCCCCTCAGGAAGAGGAGGGTTTCGTCACACTCATCCGGTATGGGCCGCACACTCCTCAAGGAAAAGCAACTGCTCTCTTCAACTTCAGGATCTCGGCGATGGAAGTTGTCCCAGAGGAAGATGTGGTTCTCGTGCTGCTCCTCTGCACGGCTACAATGCGATCTATTGCTGATTTTGGGGGCTTGTCTGCTGGAAACGATTACACCCGGCGACGAATGAAAGAGAATGCTCTTGGATCCAAGGATTGGGGATCTGTCGTTCTAGAAAACACCACCTGCCACTCCCATTTGGCCCATTGGCACTGGAATGGTGGCCATATCGGAGAAGAAGAGGAGGTTGATTGTGAGAATCATTCAGGTGTGATTAACTCCACGCCGGATTGGAGCGGTTGTGATACATTGGTATCAACCTCGAGCCGAATAATGCCAACCCAGCCACCAACAGCAGCAGCGGCAGCTTCATCTGCTGACAAAGTAGTTGGAGGAAGAGTCGACTTCGTTCAGAGAGCTGGCAGCTCGCAAATGAATCACCACATCAATCACTCGAAGAGGCCAACATCTATTCCATAAGTACTCTGTATCATATTCGGATATTGTGGCACTCCGTTTTTTCCATTCTATCTGTCCGCGTCATTCCTTTACTGGTTCGGTAAACTTGCACTTCAACACCAGCTCCTGCAGAAGAGACACACAAAACTGGATTCCCCTCATGTACATTGATTGGGTGGGATTCAGCTGTTGGCACGACGACGCTTTTTCTACAATGATCCATGGGTAGAGCTGTAGTTGGGATCATCTGTAATGTAAATTCGTAGGGAGTAGAGGGCTGGAAATGATGGGTCAATTGTCAAGCCCTTCACCACTCACCTCATTTTTATGAAATTCATCAAAATCGCGTAGAGAATATTATTATCGGTAAATTAAACACCAGCAGTTAATATCACATTCAGCTGGCAGGTTATACGCGCATTATGTCAGGTAACTAGAGTAGATTATATGGACAGTGAAATCAAGGTGACTAGTCTTTTTTCACCACTCGAGAATTTGATTGATTGAATGCTGGCATTCAGGTTTAAATAAATTAAGAGAAATTGTCATTCAGAAGACAACTCAAAAGCTTTACTGTTGGCAATGTGCCCAAAATTTTCACATGCTTTTTGGAACATGTTCTGAAGATAAATGCGACACTTAAGCGGAGCATGTTTTCGTTTACTTAAGAACTTTCAATTGTCAGCAAATATTGTGTTATTTGCTGATGGGTGCAGGCCAGAAATGCTAGGCTGTTTTCCCAGTGTACATTGGGAGTGGCTACATTCACAGTCGACCTGGGTCGAATGTGAGAAATGGGTAGTCCTACATTCATATCATGAGCCTCAGTGCAGAACTTTGCATCTCTCATCCAGCACTCCACCTGTGAGGACGATGAGGCTTCTCCGGAAACCTTATATAATTGTACTACTACCAGTATCTGAATCATCAACAGTCGGTCATAATAAATCTTGCTGATTTGATCTATCGAGAGTAGCTCGTGCATGTATGGCACGTTCTCTCATGAAAAACACCCATTTTCCGAAACGATTCTGTGTAGTGGCCTGTAAGTTGCAGTACATACCATTTGCCTGTTATGAGGAATTCCTTGCACCAATCATAAAATAGGTACATCAGTGGTGTACAGTTGTCCAAGCTGTGACTAGGACATTTGAGTAAGCTATAGTTTGTTATTAACCCCTTTCGAAAACTTATGTTTTTCGAGGAACTCACATACTGGACAACTTCATGAAACTTTGACAGTTTGAAAACGATATGTTGGACGAAAGTGGCTAAAATTCCTTGATATTCCGACTATCCTTCGCTCCTTCGACGCGACGGTGGATTAAATGTAGTACGTCTATTTCGTGCAATTTGCATGCCAGCTGCACGTAAAAATTGAAAGCACAGCTCCTAATCGATCCCTGAAGCTCCGTAGCATAAGAACTATTAAGTGTGAAGAATATACTCTTGTTGTGAAACCCTTAAATTCCCGCCAAAATCCCACAATATCAGAAGGGTTTTAACAATGCGATCATTGGCAGCTCTCGCACTTCATCTGATCTATCAAAGGATCACTTAAGACATAGAGCAACTGGTCGCATCGCGCCACTTGAGATACAGTAATCCACCTTGGTAATGAGTGTAAGCCCCTGCCACAACCAAGATGTGAAACACCTGATGGCTGTTACCAATGATATCGAAAGTGCCGGGTCTCCATCGCTCCGGGATACGGGTCGCATAGATTAGGGCACCAAGCCCATACATGACACCCATAGCGATTTCCATATATAGTGTTTTGTACGCTATAGGCTCGTCCTGGTATAAGAGAACTTTGTGTACGCATGGGATGATTCCTGAGACTCCCATTGTGAAGAACAAAGAAGCACGGAACGCGCGGTACTCTGATGTCTGAAAAATGGGTAACAAAGAGGCTAATATCGTACCAATCCCCATCGTGGTAATGAGACCGAGGTACATCTTACACAGAACGGGATTGCACATGAAACTGTAGTACACCTGCCGAGTCATCCAATCCAACAAACAAGGAAGAATCAGTGAAATAAAATGTTAAACTGGGGACAATATGCAACATCTGGGTCTAACAACGGAGAAAAGCAGAAAATTCCAGCAATAGGGGATACTAGTCAACTGAGTACGTTGACACATTATGACTTAAGCCCCAATTGCTCATGCGACTAACCTAATGATGAATGACGACGTGCTCATTGACAAACGGTATCCACGAACTATTCACCATAAGTGCAAGACCAATGTAACCCCTCTGTAGGCAAGAGTTTTTGAAGCCCTAATGTATCTCCGATAATTCATTCATCTTCTAAGACAGTGAGATACATGATGAAAGTATTCAGACCACTGAAATGCTAAAGCCACCTGTATACGATGTATCCAAAACACGTGTGTATTGAATATAAAGTACGCATGAAAGATACGATTGAACATGTGGCATTTTAACCAAAGATTAAAAAAATAACGCGATTGAAAGTGTAGAATTTTTTCTGCACAGATTTTCTCACTTGAGAAATTGCAATGTGACTCTTCTGGAGACATGCATCTGAAAGCTGCCAATAAAATTTCGTTTCCCTGTACGATTTACAAGCATGTTGATTGAAATGAGGAGATGCTGAAACAGAGCACGTACAGGTGGATAAAACGATGCTGCTATAAGGGTTGAAATTCCTGCGTAGTCAATCCGCATTAATGCATAGAAAGCTGTAGCTGAAAGACAGCTGAAGAGATGACATATTGCGCTGGCCAATAAGCAAAACATCGCACCTGCCAGGAATACGAAAAAAGGCCATCGTGTGATGGGCCTCTGCACCGTCACTGGATCTTTAGTAACCTAAAGAAATTGTGATCTCTCTGTGTTATTTGTTCCTTTAAATATCATAGCGAAAGCAAGCATGAACCAATTGAAGTTGTGAAAGGGATAATGAGGTTACAAACAGAATCCGTCTCATTAGCGGTGATAGAAAAGGAAAGGGTGGCTTAGGTGAAGCTTAAACCTCACCTGTACACATCGAGTGCCGTCAAAAGTGCCAGGAACACAACTCGAGAGCGCTTCCGGTAGATGCAGATAGGAGGGCAGAGACTCCATGATTCCGGAATGCCATCTATGAAGAGTGTTGGGCTCCACAATGTTCGGCAAATGTGTTGCTGTATAGATAGTGAGACCCAGAAAGAGAAGAAATCCAACCAAATGACTGGCGCACCACCGCCACCAATCTCTCAGCATCATGAAGCAGGTTTAGAAAGGGACAGATATACAAGCAAGCTCTTTAAAATGTTCGTTCAGGAATGAATCAATCAACATTTGGAGACCTATCCGCAACCTAAAAGATTTCCGAGACTTCGTGTAAGTTCAGCATCGCAGATTTCCATGCCAAGCGTAATTCAAACCCAGCATTTAGTAGCGGGAGAATGGAAGGAAAGAGTACGTACGTCCAAACGTTGAAGGTTTCGTTGTGCATTTCAAAGATGGAGAAAAGGGCGCGTTTCACAGACCAATCGACACGATAATGACCCAGAATATAATTGTTGTCCCGAAGGTGTGCTGGTAAAGCTGAGAATTCCACGAGTTGGTGTTTAACACTGCCCCATAATTCCAGCACCGCCTTTCTAGGGCTACCCAAAGGGCTCCGCACCGCGTTCATTTCTTTCACCGTCTCAACCTTGTTTCTCCTCCTCGTGACACCCATCGAAGATAATTCCCCCGACTCGTCCTGACCTTCTGATCCCATTCTCCAAAACGATCAGTGTTCCCTTCCTACTCAAAACTCAACTCCAAGATTCCACACCGCAACACTCCAGACCAGACCACTCCCTACCGTTTCACTCCAACAGCAACACTCTCCGTTGCCGTCTATAGATTGCAAAACAAACAACCCCCCTACAACTGCCTTCAATTGCGTGTTGTCATCTCCGCGCCGCCTGAGCTGTACGTGTCGGACGCCATGATGGATACATCTGCTTCTGATTGACAAAAACACACTATCCCCTTCAAAAGCCCCACCCAGAAGAAGAAAAAAGAAAAAAGAAAAAAATTGACACCAAAGATCTCAAATCTCAAATCAAACTACCGACGAAAACTCATTCAAACCTCCACCAAATCCCTTCGTCGCCGCAACACACCATATCCCAGCCCATAACCACATCCAGAAAAACTAAGGCAAAGCGGAAAAACCAAGAGGGCGGAGGAGGAAGAGGAGGGTGGTGGAGTTACATACAAGCACACGATGCATCCATCGCTCTTTTTGTCTTTCCCTACGTCTCGCAATTCTCCCCTGCGGCGACAATCCCGATACGAATCAGCAATTCGAGGGAGAGAGAAAAGGGGTCGCTATGATGGAATCGGGCTCTACTTACGTTTACGATTGCGCTGGGAATATTATAATAGCAACATCGGAATACGCGAAAGGAATGCGAAATTGGCACAAAAAACAACAAACAACAACAGCAACAATAACACGAGGCAACGTGTGTGTGTGTGTGTAAGTGAATGTTAGGCAGGCCCCGCAACGCTAATGCTCCGCGCGGGAAGCCCCGAGCCACGTAGGTACCCGCCAGAACCACCATGGCCACCCACTGCACTGGCGCCATTGGGGTCGCCCGTGGAGGATATTATAATATGTAAATATAAATAAAATATCCTGCAGCCTTATCCCAGTGCCTTGATGACACGAGTCGCTGTCCCTTGCCTTTCTTCATTGTGAGGAGGAGGGCCATCCAAGTTCCCCGGGTAATTAGAAAGCAAACATTGGTTGTGTTGCCTTTTTTTTCTTTAAGGCTTCAAAATAGCATTATTATGTTGCCCACCCACTGTACTTTCTTGTACGTTTTTTTATACCAACTTGGAATGTTGTGTTTTACTTTTTTTTAGAATTGTTAACGCTACATTCCTGGTTGATATCCTTACACTCTATGGGACCTCCTCTTAGACAACTAGCTAACAACATGCCTCTTTCTTTTGCACGTTTTTTCCTTTTTATTTTTTGCTTAGAAAAGGGTGGTGGTTGTGAGAGATAGACAATGAATAAAAAAACATATTCCCAGCTACTATTTTAAAAGAAATCATAATATTTGTCTTAAAAATTATTTAACTCAAAATCTTGTTTTTTTAAAAAAAATTGGCAGATAAAAAAAAAATATATATATATATATATATATATATTGTAAAGTCAATATTAAGGTTACATATTGGGCTACTAAATGTGCCTTAAGCACAAAAGTGCTTTTTTAAGACAATTTAAGTTGTGTGGAGGTCATGTAAGATGTAGCAATATCAATTAGGGATGTAGTATTAACAATTTTATTTTTGGTAGTTTTCTTTTAAATTGTTAAAGTTATTAAGACACATATTGACATTAAGAAAAACATAATTAAAATATATTAGTATTTAAATAATTTATCTAGTGGATAAAAAAATTTACATTATTGGTTAGACATTATTAGTCAAATATTTATTTCAATGTCAAATCTTTAATGTTAATAAGAAGATTGGATATTTGTAAATAATGCTGGTCGTAATGATGAAAATTGAGAGTACAGAACCATATTTAGGATAAAATGCAAAAATTCATAAGAGGTGTGGTGGCCCTCCAATAATATTATTTATTCTATCAAAGATGTAAATAATTTTTGTCTTTTGTTGTTATTAATATTTATCTTTTCTTTTAAGCAATTTTTTTTAGAATTATACAAGCCATTATAGTTTCAAAATGGCATAATAGCACAAGAGATTTAAAGATGCATGTAGTGGTGTTAAAGTTGGCAATTACTTTTGTCATTAAAGTTTTGAAAGTAGATAATGTGTACAATGTGATTAGATATATTATTTAGTAGATGTTAAAGAAGTGACCTAAAATTCTGGTTTTGAGGTGATAAAGTTTGTATAATTACTATTCTAAATGACTACCATTGAATGCTTAGATGTTCTAGCTCATGCACTTTTATTCATTTAGATTATATTCAATTACTTGTATTTATAAAGAAATTATTTTGACCAAATACATGTGTATTATCAATATAGAGGTTCTATATTTATTAAAATAGAATATATTATTTTTGAAATGTATATTTCTATTTTACTTTATATATCATTTTAATGATTTAAAAAATTAATATCCACCATGCCAATGACTTCAATATAATGTAAGGATATGTTTGGAATTTTTCTAAAAATAATAAAGGTAGAATTATTTTCAAAATGAATTAAAAAGTTGATAAGATCTCCAATATTAAAATAAATATCCAAATTAGGTTAAAAATGGAACTTTGTGCAATTTGTGAATTTATTAGTTGAACTGTATGAAGTAAGTTTTTTTTTAACAATCAAATGATGAAGACAAATGAATATTAAATTACATGTGTACACAAAAGGCATTAAATAAACTAATACAAGTACTGTAATTTTTTTTATTTTTTATTTTTATTTTTATTGAAGTAGACTATCTTAGTTTAATATATTATTCTTTTCTTTTCTTTTCTTTTTTAAGAACCTAAAGAAGTCTTTTAAGTTTTTAGACTAAACCACTACTTCTAAGATTACAAGAGTTTATTTCAACATATGCAATGGAGTCTGAGAAGAAAAAAATCATAAAAAGAAGAAGTTATCTTTGCATATTATATCTCCCGATGAAACATTTCTGAAGAAGCAAAGAATTATCTACAAGTCCTCATGTATAAAGGGAAACTAATCTAAAATTTCCATGATTATTGGTACCAATAACAATTATGCCATTGAAGGACATCAAATCCAAAAACTATTGGTATTTTTTATTTTATTTTTAAATGTGTAACAAGCAAGTGTGTGTCTAAAGATTGAATTTATGTAATCTTTACAAACTATTGATATTTTTAGGTAACAACATGAGTATAAATGCTCATCTTTTCTATGTCAACTACCATTAAGGAAGTCCACCCAATTGTATGTAGAAAGTTGTTAATTATTATTCTTTATCAATGCCCAAAATAACAATATATATATATATATATATATTTATTTATTTTAATGACACTTTTAGGTCCTTTCATCTTTTAAACTTGCTGTGGAAGAGAGAGAAGATAACAAAAGACACTTTTAAAAGACCCTAATTGATGATGATAGAAAAGAGCCATATATTATGTTTGAAACAACATTTTGACAAGTTTCTCCAAAATTTATTGGTAGAGTTTAAAAAATAAGCCTTATATTGTACTATTGATGTTGTTAAAGAACAAGCTTTTGTTTAAAAAAGTTTTCATGAGCTTGGAGAATGTGAGTGTATGACACTTTTTATAAAAATATGTAATTTTATTACAATAATATAAATTCAATGCTTTTGTGTGGATAATAAAATCATTGATGTTGAAAAAGAAAGTCTCAATATTAAAATGTAAAAGATGTAGTAGTTATGAATTTCTAATTATTTATTTTGGAAAATATAAAAATTTATTTAAATTTTTATCAATAACTTTTGACAATTAGAATAAATCAACAACTTAAATAATCTTAGAAGTTGAGATAATTAGTCTTTGTAGGTAACACAAAGTTATTTTTTGTTTATAATTATAAAGACATCAAGAATATATTAGAACATATAATATGCAAGTTCAAATTTTTTTATTGATATAGATATTATATGACATCAATTTACATTGAACTTGGAATTTTAAAAAATTACATTGTTTATTGATGATGAGAGATAATCAGTTAAACACATAATATTAGATGAATGTGTCAATCTAATATTGAATCACATGGAAATTTAATCTAATATCATGTTTTAATAAGAAGGTTATTACTAATTTTAATAAACAGTCGTTATTATTTCAATGACATGTTATGAAAGCCTCAACATTAGCTTAATAACGTAAAAGATGTGACCATCTGCAATAATGTATGCTTTTAATTAACAAATTGAAAAAATATAAAAATATTGTTACACTGTAATATTATTTGTATATAACATTTTATTTAAAAAATAATCTTATATAAAAACGTATCATAAAGAATGTCCTTAATTATTATATTCAAAGATTTACATATACTTCTATATGAATATGTTACCACAAAAAAAGAAATACATATATATATATATATATATATGCATGAATTAAGTACTTGAATTCAGAACTCAGAACATATCTAAATTATGATTGTAAAAGAAAGATAAATTTTTACTAGGTTTTGCAAAGATTTAAAAGATTACATACTCATATACTTAACTTGGTATGAATTTCTTTTGAATATGAACATCGATTTGGTACCTACTACAAGTTTATAATTAGATACAGTTTGAATATTATATTGATAAGTCATTCAATATTGTGTTTTTGAGCATTTTGGGTTTTATTTTTTATTTTGTATTTTCATTTTTATCATATATGCAATTTTATCGATAAATGACTCTTGGTTGGTAAACTAAGTTTCATATCATTTATGAAAAAATAAATTGTGTTTTAATTCTAAAATTTTCATTTGAGTTAGTTTTTAAATAAATTCTCACCATTTCATGAAAAAAATACTAAATAAAACACCTGTCCCTGTGATTTTGTAACATATTTAAATTCAAATTACAAGATTTGGATACTATTAAATTTTATTATATTAAAATATGATCTAATATAAATAGAAATATAAATAGAATCTAATTTTGGTAGTATGTCAAAAGATCAACATATAAATGAAGCTAATTATTTTTTGAAAGTAACAAAAAAATTGAATTTTTTTGGAGATTAAAGAGAAGAACTTCTACCATAAAAAAAAATGAAAAATAAAAAAATAAAAAAATAAAAAAAGAGAAAATTAAGAAAATGCTCATCAAAGATGCTCTCCTTGCAATAATACGGTTGCCCTGATTCCTGAAGGGGTGGGGGCTAGCCGACTGTTCCAAAGCAGAATCGGGGTTCGAGGAGCTGACAGGTTCTACATCGGAACTGCTCTCGAGGTGAAACCCTAGCTCTGTATGTTTGGTTCGGGGGTGCGAGTTGAATTATATTACGAGGTTTCCAAGCTCGGCGCCGTTGATTTGACCTCGCACTCGCGCACTCTCTTATCGATCTCTATTTACAAGAACGTGTGCATCGGAGAGCAATCCGGCGTCAAGCTAGTGGATCAGTAGAATGCATTAGCATCGTGTCTGTATAGAAATTTGGAGAAGTGGGCACTATTCATTCGAGGGGCCTCGACGAATTTCAATTGATCTGGTGGTCTCTATTTTGGCAGTGAGGAGGGATTTCGATCGAATTAGGAGGATTCTGATTGAGCGGGATGACGATCAGGTTTGTGTTGTTGGTAAATAAGCAAGGTCAGACACGGCTGGCGCAGTACTATGAGTATCTTACCATCGAGGAGCGGCGAGCTTTGGAGGGGGAGATTGTCCGAAAATGCCTCGCCCGTCCAGACAATCAAGTTAGTAGACCACTGTTCTTTATTCTTGGAGGTTAAGTTTTGATTGGCTTGCTTGTTTGTTCTAGTTTTGAGGTGTGTCTTGGTAGGAAATTGCTACATATACCTCAAAAATGCCGTGATACTTTACGCTCGCGGTATTGTTATTCGTGTTAAACTTGGTGCTCTCGACTAAATCTTCTAGTTAGCTGATCTTTGTCAGCAGTATTGGTCCCATTAATTCAGTTTTTGGTCTACGTTAGGGTGTTTGCAATAAACAGATCAGGACATGGTTAAGCATGCTTAAGTTTAATTTAGAATAATTCGTAATACCTTGGGTTGTGTTAGTGTTCAGTTTTGAAATCTCGGAGAAACTTCTTCTCAATGTCAATCTTTGAGTAATTTCTTGATGATTGCGCTTTATTCCAGTTTCATAAGCGGTTTTTATCCAAATCTAGCAATCAAGTGGCACAAGAGTCAAGCATTATACGATTGATGCATCGATCATGTTGCTTAGACTTCTTTGTCGAAAATGTTGGGAGTCGGAATTAGTGGTGCCTGCAAATTCCTCTTTAGTTTAGTGTATGTACCTTTGTCACTTAGAAGGAAAGAAAATGGAACGGTTTCAGGGCAAATACGAACATACAATAATTCCTAATCAAATAACGCTTAGCTATCGAGTTTTTACATGATCTCACTTCAACGCTTTTGGAGGTAAAGTACTGGAGATGAGAGTGTTGATGTGGAAGGGCGTACTAACACTTGAAACATCTCATTTTCAGAGTCCTATCTAGACGGGTGTGATTCTTTTGTTAACACCCATAACATTATGGCATTGTACAGAGGGCATTAATTGTGCATTATTGTACATCTATATGTTTCATCACTTTCAGTTTCCGAAAAGAACATGACTTTGCGGTCAAGTAGAGTTAACTGGATTCTAGAGTTTATGTGTATCTGCGAGCTTACTTCTACAATTTCTTTTTGAGTGTAGTGTTCGTTCGTGGAGCATCGCAACTACAAAGTGATCTATCGCCGATATGCATCGCTCTTCTTTTTGGTCGGTGTTGACGGTGAAGAGGTACTATCAGCTACATCATAACGTGGTGTTTTGTTATGGCTTCATATTTTGCATTGTATATTTCTCTGCTTATTTATTCAGGCATGCATGGTGATCAAATAATTCCTTCCTCCTTCCTGAGCTGTTTTTTCCCTCTTAGAGTGTTTCCTCCATTTCTCTGAGAACACATCTTAACCAGTAAATTACAAGCACATTGTAAATCCTTTTGTTAAGGTACAATCTGTGTTAAAACTCCAGTGTTTTAGTTTCAAAATTGAGAGCTTCCCCACGTGCTGATTACTACATTCTATTCTCTGAGTCGCATGAGCAGAATGAGTTAGCGATCTTGGAGTTTATTCACTGCGTGGTGGAAACAATGGATCGTTATTTCGGAAATGTGGTATGTACTTATGGCTTCACAGAAGTGATTCCAATGCTTAAATGGATTGATAGGTAGAAAACTGTGATTGTTGTTTCATCTGTGTATGGTTCAATTCAGCGTCATCCATGTTATAACTCCTTTGTGCAATTCTTGCCCACCATTATGATTCTAGTTCACTGTGGCTGCGGTTATCTGTATTTTTTCTCCTGTTACAGCTTTTTGTACCAAAATGGTGAATATTCACTACTGTTTTTTGGGATGTCAGTGTGAGTTGGACATAATGTTCCATTTGGAGAAGGCGCATTTTATGTTGGAGGAGATGGTTATGAATGGCTGCGTAGTTGAGACCAACAAGCAAAACATTTTGCACCCTATTCAACTTATGGACAAAACAACATAGTGGACGTACACATTCGCACTGCTGTATCCTGAAATGTGCGCTAACCATGTTCTTCTTAATTACTCTCGTTCTGCGTTTCCATTATGTGAGATTCGTAGTTGCCAGACATGGGACGCATGTGAATGTGTTGAAGGGTTTCTTTATGCTGGTTTGTAAAGAGCTAAGTTGTAGATCGAGGGAAAGTTTGCATATTATTAGTCACTTTTCTCCAACAATGTATGTACTGCTTGTAATGGTAGGGAACCATTTGTCACATAAACCTCTCTGGGCCTTGCTTCTTCATGGGTATCATGTTGAACTTGCAGAGAACCTAGGTCTTGTTGAAATATTGGGTATGTCTGAAGATGCTTTGTTGAATATCGAACAAACGCTTGACCCCGATCATGTAAAATATCTAAGTTTACCGTGAACGTTTTTTTGAAGTGAAACTGAATAGTTCGTTCGGAAGCCTATGAAGTATAGTAAATTTGCATCACATGTAAAGACGTATTAAGAAAGCTTGTTTGAAAATGCTTGTATAGATACGGAGTTCAAGCAGTGTACAGTCTTCTTACTTGGTGTCGGTAACTTCTCTGACATCAAATAATGAGACCTAGTTTTCTTTCTTAAAATAAAAGGGGTGATCCCTTTTGTCCATTAACAAGGCATACTTCAGATTGTGGAAGCTTTAATTTGTAGTTCTATCTGTTGATTAGGTATGTGCACCTTGGAGCTTGTGATATAATCTCGCATATTATTTTTAGCCGAATTCATTTTTTCAAGTGAGTTCTTTAATCTAGCTATAACCAAGCTCCAGATAGTATGTTTCATAGGAAGATTAAGAATAATGTTTCCAATAGATTTATTCATAAAATAAAATATATAAATCAATATCATATGATTCTATTTTTTATTTTATTTTTCATTCACTTTCATCATTTTGTACCTCATTCAAAAATCATTTTATCATATTGTTTTTATATCTTCAAAAGCCATGTTCTTATTATATAGCGTCATAATACTTTTGATATGATTGAGAATTTTGCTACATTTTATTTGTTAAAATATTAATATTGGTCATGAAATATTTTAGAGATTTTGTTTGTTTTCTTTTTCTGTACTTGTCAAAGTTTGTAAAATTTTATTGTTGTTAATATGTGAACTCTTATTAAATAGGGTTTGTTGATCTTCGAAGAATATTTAATATGTTCAATAATGGATCTTTTCTCATTAGGATATTTATTTTATTAGATGCATAAATATTTTGAGTTATGTCATTAGCTATTGTAGCCATGTCATAATTTATGTGACCAATTTTGCTCAAAAGAACTTAGAAAATCTAAATTAATTAGCAATGGTTATTATAGAATTAGACTCTAATCAAATCATATACTTGGATTTTTTGGAAGCAATGTAATAGTTTTTTTGGATCCAATATAGAATGATTTAGAATAATATAAAATCTCAAATGTTATTTTTTAATTGTTAAAATAAGAATTAGATACTATGTAGAAGATATTATCTTAGAAAAGTTGCTAATGATTAAAGGGTAGTATAAGAATGAAAGTAAGTTACTAATGTGGCAGCTAGATTAAGAGGAATGTAGAATTTAGTTGGATGAAGCAAAGAAGGATGAAGATGATTATAGATGAAGTTCAACTACAATAGATGTAAATTCTTTTTATAAGTAAAGGGTATTGGAAGTGAAAAACATCTCATTTTATACTTCTCTTGTGTACAACATTTTGATTTCTACTTACTTATGTCTTGCTTGTTGTATTTTTTCAATAGGTTATGGGCCTACACACACTTTGTTGTGCCATTCAAGTAAGTTGATGTCATTCTCTAGTGGTTGTACTTGTGTAGAATACAACTTATGGTGTTTGCTAATAATAAAGTTTATAAGATCTAAACTTGCGTTTTGGCATAAGTGCTGATTTTGACCTTATGGATCTCTAATATTACTTTTTGGATTCTTAACTCCTATGATTGTGACTTTAAGACCTTATAGAAAGACCTTGATAATATTTTTTTAGTGGTATTAAAGTTGTTTTACTTACCTTGTTTGCATTGTAAAAAAATTGGTTTGAAAGAATGAATGATCTTGATAATAAGGTTCATTGAAATGCACATACTTATTAGAAGATTCAGAACTTGAATTGAGAGTGTTTTGAGTGACAAAGCACTCAATTGTTCACAAGTGGGTATATTAAAATTATGCAAGTATAAAATTATTTTGGTAATTTTGAGCACATAGAAACTCCTTTTCTTGATATTTTTTGATAGAACTCTTCTTAGACATAGTTTCTAATAAGGATGAAGGTTTGAGAGTGATTGAAAATTTTAGAAGGAATAATTTTTAATATTGGAAGGTCAAAATAGAAATTTTGTTGATATCTTTGGATCTTTAGAATATTGTAGATGAAAGTAAAGAACTTCCAAGCATACATGCAAATGCTAAAGAAAAGAAGGACTTCAAAAGATGTGAAGAGAAGGTTTTTGAGGTGATTTCCATTAATTTGGATTAAGCCAAATTTTCTCACATTATCTCTTGCAAAGGCCAATGGAAGTATGGAAGACTCTTTGTAACATATATGAAAACAAGAACTTGTCTAACATCATCTTCACAAGAAGGAAATTCTTCATTTGCAAGATAGAAGAAGGTAAAGACCTCATGGCTCATATCAATAATGTAAAGACTCTTATAAACCAACTTACAATTATTAATAAGTCTAAAAAAGATAGTGATATTGTCATGACCTTGCTTATGAGTTGTCTTGAGTCCTACAACTATGTCATTGTGACATAAGAGTCCATCAAGTTAAAAGAACTTACAATGCACTACGTGATGGCAAGACTTATCCATGAAGTGACCAAGAAGAAAGAAAAAGAACCTTAAAGTAAAGATTCGACTCTCCTTTCAAGTGAAGGTAAAGTAAGCTATTCTAATTAACTTAGAAATATAAGAACTTGCTTCATATATGAAAAACAGGTCATTTTGTACAAAATTGCTGCAAGACAAAAAAAAAAAAAAAAAAAAAAAAAAAAACCAAAAATGTATATGAACAATTTAAAGGAGATGATTTTACATTCATAGTAAGTAAAGGCACGTCTATGATTGCCATATTTAACTGGATTGTTGATTTGGATGCCAATAAATATATAATTCCGTACAAGTGTTTATTTAATACTTATGAAGAAATTTTGGCAAAAAATATTTTTATGGCAGATAATGATATGATACAAGCTATTGGAATGTATTTTTGTTGTAGTGGAGATTGTTGTGAGAGGATAAACCAAAGGGATTAGATTGAAGGATATCTTGTATGTACTTAATATTAAGAAAAATCTCTTTTCAATGAATAAATTAATTTTATATGGTTGTAAGGTGCAATTTGATAAGAATCAATGCTTTTCAAAGGTATTGGATAGAGGTGATATTGCCAAATGCTTTAGAAATGGAAATCTTAACTTTATCAAGTATAAGAAGGTGAATAGAATTGAAGTAACCGTATTTATTGAGTTTCTATATGAACAAGATAAATTTGGCATTTGGGATTGACGCCTTGATTATTTGAATGCCAAGAGCATGAAAAAACTCCAATCCATGGTAAGACTTGGATCTTTGACAATCATCCAATAATGCCATGCCTCTTGTTTCTGAAGGTTGTATCTAAGACAAATAATAAAATGTCTCATTTTCTAGTGGACTTGCAACATGTGTAAGTAAGCTATTGGAGATTATGCATTTGGATGTTTATAGAGCAATGGTGATGCCATCAATTAAAAGAAAAAGATATTTTGTCACTTTGATTGATGATTTTTCAAGGAATATGTGGATTTTTATCTTTAAATCTAAAAGTGAGTACTTTTCAAGGTTTAAGGAATTTAAGGCACTTGTAGAAAAATAATGTGAGTGTAAGATTATGATGTTGTACATGGACAATGGAAGTGAATATTTATTAAAGCAGTTTGATGATTTTTTGAAGATTCAAGGTATTGCAAGACAAACCTCTACTTTTTGTAGTCTACAATAAAATGAAGTTGTTAAAAGAAAAAATCAAACCATTATAAATATAATAAAAAATATGCTACATACTTAATATTTTTAATATGAATTTTGAATAGAAGCCATGGTAAATGTGGTGTATATAAAAAATAAGTTCCTTACAAGTGCACTTACATCAATGATTCCAAAAGAAGCATAGAATAGAAAGAAGCCTTGTATTTCATATATAAAGACTTTTAGATGCATTGCTTATGCAAAGATACCAGATTGTATGAGATTCAAATTTGATGTAAAAGATACAAAATGTGTGTTTCTTGGATATTATAAAAGTACCAAGGCATATAAGTTAATTTATTTGGATACCAAAAAGATTATTAAAAATTATGATATTAAATTTTTGGAGCAAAAAAATGATTGTAAATACTTAGAAATATATCCTAGTGGGAATATTAGTATGCTTATAGATACATCTTCAAATTCAACAAAAAAAAAAAATATAAAAATAATAAAGATGGTAGAAGTGTGAATGAAGATGAAGAGACAAAGAAGATAAAAGAAGAAGGATTCTACAATTCCTAATACCAACAATAAAGATGTTGATGATGATAATGATGATGATAATGATGATGATGATAAAGAATACTAACCTTTGATTGAAAAAATATAAGCTTTAAGAGAAAAGAAGCTTAGAAGAAAGGATGGAGTGCAACAAGATGAATCTTCTTCAAATGAAAGGAGATATCTTTGAGAAAACAAAGATCACATGGTGAATGATGGAAGAACCACATCTTTCCTCAAGTAACTGAAAAAGATGCTAATGTTGTATTTCTTGATGATTCATTGAATTTGCGTAATATAATGAAATCCATAGATGCTATTAAGTAGAAAAAGGCTATAGAAGAAGAGTTTAAATCATTCATGGATAATAGAATATAGGAATTGACTCAACTTCTATGAAATTAATCTTCAATAGGTTGTAAGTGGATGTTTAGAATAAAAAAGAATACAATGGAAAAATTTATAAGATATAAGACAAGATTAGTTTCTAAAGGCTTTTTACAAATTATTGATGTTGATTTCGATGAGATATTTTTTTATGTGGCTAAATTCACCACTATTAGAATCATTGTGACAATTAACGCAGCAATAGAATTTGAAATGTAACAAATGGATGTAAAGATGGATTTTTTGAGTAGAAAGTTCGAAGAAGACATCTATTTAGATCAACATCAAGAATTTTTTGAAAAAAGAAAACAACACCTTATTTGTAAGTTAAAAAATTCTTATATGGATT